GGATAATTGCCTTGACCTGAAGGGTAATTGCCGTTGGGTTGCGCGGGAGAGTACGGTCCTGCGCCCTGATTGGGTGGGTAGTTGCTGCCCCCCTGGTTGGGAGGGTAGCTGCCGGGGGCTTGCGGAGGATAATTGCCATTGGTCTGGGCTCCAGGGTAGTTCCCACTCCCTTGTGAGGGAGAATAGGGGTTATTGCCTTGCGTGGGCGGGTAGTTTGTGTTTCCTGGACCAGGGGGGGAGTTGTTGTTCCCGGATGGCATGCCGTTCGGGGAGTATCCAGGCGGAGGAGGTTGTTGTTGATGATGCTGGTTGTCATGGTCATTGCCATTTGTGTCGTAAGGCGAATGGGCAGCGGTGAAGGTCAGCGCACAAGATGCCAAACATGCGAGCGTGAGTAGGACGCGCATGCCTGGGAGGGGGCAAAAAGGGAAAAATGGTGAGAAAATCTGACATGCATGGCACTCGCCACGGGGGCAGTTGCTACCAAGAATAACGTGTGCACACAACGCATCTATGTCCAAATATGCTTGCCACGATGGTATTCAAAGATACCAAAGCCCACGAAAACATTAAGAGGAAACACACGCCTAACATTCGAGCGAATACCGAGTTGTAGAGCCCAGGTGTCGGGCTTGGGATGTATGGGTGTTGTGCCCACGCCCATGGTGTGCGCACATGGCAGTGTATTTTGTCAAACCGAAATCCGGTCGCTGGATGGTGGACCAAAAATTGCGCGAACCGAGTCCAGGATATCAACTGAAAAACTGCGCGAACTGAGTCCAGGATATTAACTGAAAAATTGCGCGAACGGGATCCGGGAGCCGGACCGGGACGGTAAATTTGACCGGGTAAAATAAAAAAAATTGCGCGAACCCAGCCTCGACAGCTACAGGTAGTTACGTCCTCCCGCACGTTTCCTTGCGTGGGTATTGAGCAAGCGAGCCTCCCGGCCATGTCACACATAAATCGTGTATACCAGATGGTTAAAGGCAAGCGATATATTGAGAGCTTTCATTCTGAGAGGAGGTAAGAGGAGGGAGCGGTTGCACCCGAACGACAGCTATGGCCCATAGGGAAGTTCTGATTTGACATCCGGTGCCGGAGGAAAAGAACAAAGACTCCTAAGCATCCAAAAATAACATCTGTCACTTTCCAAATATGCCTAACAGGTCAAATTTCGAGTGGCGGAGAATCATTTTTTGGGTTGTATAGGAGGGAGGAACATGAGAGAGCCGATCTTTTTTCTTGTCTTAGTATTTATATGCCCTTTCGCAATATATGCAAAAGAAAAGTGAATAGCATAGTTATGAATCTTAGTCATGCTTTAGGTTTTGCCTTTCTTTGATATGCTTTCGAGCATTGCCAGCTGAAATCTTTGTCAGCGTATACCTTTTTTCATTTGCTCCTTTTTGGGAAGATCGTCTCGGACCAAGACAATCGAGCGCGACCCATTCCCCTTAAAAGAAGACTTCACTCTAACGCTCTAAAAACCTCATAAGTGGAACCACGGCACGCGCCTTTTGCTGTTTGCCAAAGAAGCCTCCGCCCTTAAAGAGCAGCCACGCATTTTTCTTGCTCCTCGTTGTGGGGAAATTCCCATGCGTTGCAAGTCTCCATCTGGCAGGACAAGGAAGAGAGAGGGAGTGAGGCCTCAGGAATGGGTCAAAAGAGGAATGAGGTACAGGGCGCCAAGGAAAAGAACGAGGAAAAGAAGAGAAGGGGGAAAGAGGATGGCCTTGAGAGGCGTGCCAGTTCAGGGGATGGAGCGAACAGACGGGCAAAGAAAGACAAAAGCGAGAGAAAACAGAAGAGAAACGAGAAGGATGCAGCGCAAAAAAGGAGAAACATGATGGGCATAGCTGTACATCCTCTCCCTCCCTTTTCACCTGGCAATTGAACCAACATTCGGGAACCGCGTCCTGTGGCCCCAAAAGGGGGATCTCGCCCATGTCAATGAGGTTGTTGGTCCCGTCAAAGCGGCAGAAGTGGTCCTTGTAGCCGCTGAGTGGGAGGAAAGGAGAGAGGGATAGGGTAGGTTGCGGCCGCCTGATTGAGAGGCGTGCTCGGCGTGCATGTTCTAGGGACACGTACAACCTGACGCCCCTCCTTCCCTCCCTCCCTCCTTGCCTTCCATTCTTCCTTCTCTTATCCTTCTACTACCTTATATCCCCCTGCTGTCCTTTTAAAGGACCGGCAGTCAATTACAGATTGACAAGCAGAACCCCTTCAATCATCCAACTATTTCTCCCTCACACAATCCTCCCTCCTCCCTTTTCACCTGTCTGTACGGCAGTAGAGGATCTCAGCGTCGGTGCACCCATCCCGTTTGCTATTATCAGCTCGGTAGGAGGCGTCCTCCATATAACTGGAAAGCAAGGGAGGGATGGAAGGGGAGAGGAGGGGAGGGAGAGGGAAGTTTGAGGTACCTGGGCGCAAACATGGTATTCGGCCTCTCACTCCTCAAATTGTGTGTGGCGCTTACTCCTTTCCATCCTCCCTCCCTTCGTTCCGCCTTTTTCCTCTCGTAACCTACCTGGCGAAGCAGTCAATCAGCATCTTTAATTTCTCACCGTTCACTTTGATTAGCGTATGTTGATAAGAGAGATGAAAAGGGAAATACGAAGGACATTGTACAAATGTTCAGGTATGTATGTGAGCAAAAAGTATTGAGGACGGTTTGAGATAGCAGGATTGGGACGGTTCTCTCTGTCACAGTGGGAGGTCATTCCGAGAACGCATTCTCATGCTTCTTTAAAGGTACGAGATGAAATGCGAAAAAGCGATGCGATAGTTCGAAAAGGGACGTCCATAAAGTGCAGTCATTATTTGCTCTTCAAGATGTGTACATGGCTTTCCTTACCTTTCTTTTCTGCACCACGCATGCTGCCAGCATTGACAGTTCCTTTACCTAAAGTAAAGACGGCACAGGCCAGGAAAAGCGAAGGGATGGACAGCTTCATGCTTATGTAGATATGAACGCTTTAAAGTGCCTGTGCTTGTCGTGACATTTGTGCGCGCGGGAGCAAGGATGATTATCATATGGCTGATGGCAGCGTAGGAGCAACGAATCGCACCGGGTTGCATTCCTTCCTCTGTACACAAACCCGGGTGTTTACTTCATTAACACCATCATTTGCTACTACACTTCGATTAAAAAATAATATCTTAACAAATGAAAGCCCAAATTTGTGAGAAGGATGGTCTCAATTTTATGTTTGGGCAAAATTATCATATTTGTTGATTTTTTATGGGCCCATGGCATGATTATGTCTGCCGCGGTGCACATATATTATTCCCATTGGCAACAAACGCACTTCAATACTCGTGAAAGAAGTAACATACCGCACAGAAAGGCATAGGCCGCAAAAATGTACCGCGTGGCGGGTTCAAGGGTCGGGAAACTCGTCATGGTGGTAGCATCGGTCAAAACGGGCAGGACGACGTGCTCATGGAATTTGAAATTTTGGAAAAAAATGTGTGCCCGACAACGAGGTTTCGCGTGAGGACTATGCTGAAAGTTAAACAAACAAGAAAGAACCCTGCGCTGAAATCGATCCCGCGTCCTGAGTTGTACAGTCATGGCAATTATGCCAGCGTAAAACTATTTTCTTTAATGGCGTGGTAATTTGTATTAGTGTATATATACATCACAACTCCTCCCTCTTTTTCCGTGCCTCCTCCGGTTTTTCTCCTCTTTCACACACCATCACCCCTCGATCGGACCAAGAGCCCAGTAAATATCTTTCTTTTCTCTTCTCTGAAAAATTGTGGGAAAAAGGTGCATCACAAGCCGAAAACATGGCGGCAGCGCCACTTACTCCGCTAAGTCCGCTTCCGTCCTGAGAAACGGTTTAGGGAGAAAGAGAGAAATAGAATGAAATTGTGTAAAAGGAATAATGAGGAATTTAATGGTGCATGAACAGCGACAATGGTAGGAAAAGGAGAGGAGAACGGGCTGATAGGAGGGAGAAACATCCAATGAAGACAAAAACGAGAAGGGAACGGGAGGCAAGGTGCCTTTTGGAGAAGGATCAGCTCACTTACATGCAAAAAGATTTCCTCGACCGCATAGCTGGGACCATCTCCGCCTCTCTCCTTCTTTCTCTCCCTCCACAAACGCTGCACCCCTCCCGTGATATTGTAGCGCGCGTCCCGTTCCCCCGAGGGTTGGTGCTTGTAATGAAGGTTGTGCCGCATGAACATCCAGACGTGACCGAAGGCTGGGAAGGGAAATGTATGAAAGCAGGCACAAAGGAAGAAAATAAGGATGCGAAGTCGGGAACATTCGGAAGAAATCCGTTCCCATTCATGGCCTCATGACCCTTTGTAAACGTCAACTTTTCGCTTCCTCCCCCCGTTCCTCCCCCTCCTTCCTCTCCCCCTCCCGCGCATACGTACATCCCAACATGTAGCTCTCTACCTCCTCCTTCCCTTCCATGTCCTGATTCTCGCTTGTTGACACAGCTTCGATGTTGTCCACCGGGTGCGGGGTTGGGAGGCAAGCGAGCCGGTGGAGGACGTGGGGGAGGGAGGGGTCGAGCTGAAAGATGTGGACCGACTGAAAGGAGCGAGGGTGAGGGTGAGGGAAGCCAGGAGGAGAGGGAAGAGGAGGAGGATGAGTTATGCGTGCCTGCTCCGTTGGAGGACGACTGTGTGGAACACAAGGGAGGACGGAGGGGGGAAAAAA